TAATTAATATAATTAATACACAATCTATTTGTGTTTTTTTTTTCCGGGACTTTACATGAGTGAAACAAATTCATAAAATTTGGACAAAAACAAAAATAGACTCCAGAATGACGTCAAAATCCGCGAAAATTTTTCATCTTTTAATAGTCAGTCGTGATTATTTTCATTTGTAGCCTATATTAATGTAGGTAGAAAAAAAGCAAATGTTGATAAGACAGTAAGTATCACAAAGATCTGCCTGGGGGCCCCCAATCAGCCTTTCCCTCTCCCGTTCGGGTTTCAGGCATAATATACGCTTGTCCTGTATGGTAGTAAAATGTTGAATCTTCCTTAGTTTTATAGATGTTTATTTTGCTTTGTTACAGATAACAGCCAAGCTGTTTTTATGCAGTGTCTCTTCAGGACAAAGGCGATTTGTCTTTTCGCTACTCCTCCGAATTCCTGTCCTGCCATCCATTTCCAGTTACTCGATACTTTTACTATGTCCTTTGTGTCTTTACCATGTCTTGTGAATGTCAAATTCTCCAGGCTTTCTTTTTCTCATGTGTACCAGAAATTTCAACTCTCTTTCTGATTTTATAATTGTCGTTTTTGTTCCCAACTTCCTGACAGCCTCCTCGTTACTCACATGTTCAGTCCATGGTATTCTCAGCATCATTCTGTAGAACCACATTTCTGTTGCCCAGCGCCGACCCTCGGGTTGCTGGAACCCCGTGCACGATGAACTTCGGCACCCTTACAAGTATATTTTTTTTTAATTTTCACAAGGAGAAAAAAAACTGAAATATATAAAATAACGAATTTATTACAATATACAACTTAAAGTGAGCGTTCATTATTCGACCTAAAAAATTTTCGACCTAAAAAATTTTTCTAGCCTTTAAATCTGTAAATCTTTTCATAGCAATTTTCACACCGATCTTCTTTACAAGATCATTTTCTATTGACAAAATAGCCAAAGAATTTAATTTGAATTTAATAACAAAAGTTATAAAAACATATTTGCGGTCGTCTATGACCGCAAATATGTTTTTATAACTTTTGTTTTTATTACTTTTAGAAGATCCTAAGCATGGCTATATGATGGCGCCCTTGACATTGATGGCGTCCCGGACGACTGCCTGAGTTGCCAGTGTCTTGCACCCGCCTTGTGCTTGCCTTGTGTCTTCTCCTCAACAGTGAAGAAATTGTCCAGCATTCACTACCATATAAAGAGGGCCGATATTGCACAACAGTGCAGTAAACTTTTTCGTTGTTTTTAATGAAATTTTTCTGTTTCTTAATACTTTACTTAACTTTTGGAAGGCATCGTTCCCTACCCTAATATATCTTCGAATTAAAATACTTCCTAGATATTTAACCGTCCCGGGTAAGACGATAAACTACATCTGCGTCCAGGGTAAGACGATAAACTACGTCTGCGTCCTGGGTAAGACTATAAACTACATCTGCATCCTGGGTAAGACGATAAACTACATCCGCGTCCTGAATAAGACTATAAGCTACATCCACGTCCTGGGTAAGTTGATAAACTACATCCGCGTCCTGGATAAGACTATAAGCTACATCCGCGTCCCAAGTAAGTCTATAAACTACATCCGCGTCCTGGGTAAGACAATAAACTACATCCGCGTCCTGAGTAAGACGATAGGCTACATCCGACAGCTAGGCGATTTTGAGGAGCATGGAACCACCTCTTAATTGCTAGTGTTCCCAGGTCCAACCTGACGCGGGGTGGTAGCACCTGTCAGAGTCCCAAATATGGGCAAATAGTGTACCCCCGTAAGGGGTCAAAACACTATGAAAGTCTAAAAATAGGTTTTAATACCAACAATACTCATTTGGAAAAATTATTGCCAGCAGTACATTTTTTAAAAAGAAAAATATTAGCAACAACATATATTTGGTAAAAAAGATATTACCAACAATAAAAATCTTGTCGGAATTAAATGACCCATTGAGGTTGATGTGTGTAAAACAAAACAAAACAAACAAAACAAAATATTTAAAATGTTGTACTTGCTTGATTTTGATGTCTTCAGTTCGTCGTTTGCATCATGAGTTTCTCATCTTCCCATCATATTCTGTCTTCATATAAAAACGGTTTAGTTTGATGCGGTCGCGTCAGACATTGCTCAACGAATTGAATATATTTCTAGAACTGGAGGAAGGTAAAACAATACGGTGCTTTATTTGCTACGTCTATTCTTTCGCACACCCTATCATAATGGCCTAAAATACACTAACTGTATCTACCCGAAAAAGAAACTCAAGTATAAACGCGACCAATGTTTATCTATAGCCTCAAATATAAACCTGACCAATGTTTATCTATAGCCTCAAGTATAAATCCGACCAATGTTTATCACAGCTTCAAGTATAAATCTGACCAATGTTTATCTATAGCCTCAAGTATAAACCCGACCAATGTTTATCCATAGCTTCAAGTATAATCCTGACCAATGTTTATCTATAGCCTCAAGTATAAACCCGACCAATGTTTATCCATAGCTTCAAGTAGAATCCTGACCAATGTTTATCTATAGCCTCAAGTACAAACCCGGCCAATGTTTATCTATAGCCTCAAGTATAAACCTGACCAATGTTTAACTACAGATTGAAGTATAAGCTCAGCCAATATTTAGCTAGTAACTCAAGTGTAAAATTGCTCAATGTTTATTTATAGCCTCAAGCATGTACCTGACCAATGTTTAACTATTGACTGAAGTGTAAACCTGACCAATATTTATCTATTAACTCAAGTATAAAATTGATCATTGATTATCTATAGCCTGAAGTATAAACCCGACCAATGTTTAATTACGGACTGCTGTACAGAACTAACTAATATTTACCTATCACTTCAAGTATAAACCCAACCAGTGTTTATCCATAGCCTCAAGTATAAACCCAACCAATGTTTATCTATAGCCTCAAGTATAAATCTGACCAATGTTTATCTATAGCCTCAAGTATAAACCCAACCAATGTTTATCTATAGCCTCAAGTATAAACCTGACCAATGTTTATCTATAGCCTCAAGTATAAACCCAAGCAATGTTTATCTATAGCCTCAAGTATAAACTCAACCAATGTTTATCTATAGCCTCAAGTATAAACCTGACCAATGTTTATCTATAGCCTCAAGTATAAATCCGTTAAATATTTAATTATAGATTCCAATATAAAACTAATTAATGTTCATCTATTGACACAAGTACAAATCTGACTCAAGTATAAACCCTACCAATTTTTATCTGGCGATCAATGTTTATCTATCGAGTCAAGTATAGGTTTCAATATTAAGGGGAACATGCTTTGATGTGTCGTAAAATGCACCAACATAATCGCACTTTTTCTTTAAACGGGTTTCCTATTAGATTGTAATTTATGTAACAAAGACAATGATGCTAGTCTAGCAGAATAATGAAATGGTAACAATAACTCAATGCAAAAGACATTGGGAAATTGTAATATTTGGATTTGTTTTTTTGCTTTTGTCTAAAACAATTCGTTGTGTCATATCGATGACAAATTTATTCCTATTTTTAGTAATTAATTTTTTTTTTGTTTTCTTTTTGTCAATAAAAGTCAAGAAACCGTATTACATTTCATTTCTTTAAAAAAATCAATTTATTATTTTTTTTTAAAAAAAAAGCAAAAACAAATAACTTTAAATATATATATATATATATATATATATATATATATATATATATATATATATATATAGAAAAGGTTGAGGTCAGTAAGTTTAATAAATGATCCGCAGCCGTCGTTAAAATTCAAATCGATCTTTAAATGTCAATTTCAATCGGTTAAAGTTTAAGAAGATCGATCATCGGGTTTCAGCTGAGGGCAAAACAAATGCTGACATGGAGACGGTGAAACGCGTTCTCGATTTAAATCAGCAACAAAAAAATATCGAACATAAACAGGCGACTGACATTTATGCCGTAAAAACAAAATATGAGTGATTACGAATGCGTTTATGATTTCACTATCCAGATTGTACGAGAGACGACGTTACAAAGGTAAAAAGCCTCCTATTTCCACTGAAGCGACAACAGATACAAGGAGCAATAAAACCATGGCAGAGAGAGAGTGAGTTTTCAGCTCCAAAACACCTTTCTCTTTTACTAAAAATGTCAACCAAATACAATTCCACTCAAAATAAACGTTTACTGAACGAAGCTGTTGTGTAGACATAAGTACAAATTATGAAGGATAAATAACCGACAATTCTAGACACGAAGAAATTAATATTATAGCGATTGGGAAAGCATCCTCTTGGGAGTCTGTTCCACAAAGTAAACACCCACGGGAAGAAGATGGCTGAGTGAAACTTCTACCTTACCAATAGAGTACAAAAGGTATTCGGGTGATTTGATCCTGTGGACGAAGCGTGGTAGATCCTAGCTGTAAAGGTCTGAACTAGTGGGACCAGAAAATGTCCCCCACTCCGCCATTTGAACATTTGCCATGGAAATAGCGATAGAACTGCGATAGTGACAACGGGCTTGCAGGGTATAAAATAATTAATCCCCCACAAGGCCGCATAAACGTATTTAAACTATGTCCAAGTTGGAATACAATGAATGGGCAGCTCCAGACAAGGTATGGCAGCAATACTCCATCTTTTCATCTGATATGAGTCTTGTAAGAAACTCCCCCACCCCAAACACCAGCATTGACTATGCATTTTTGCCAATGAAGAACAAAACCTTTCCGAACATGGCTTCAGTGTCACCACTGGTAAAACACATTACCTATCGCCCAACTGTGCTCACATCCACTATATGGTCTCCATGATCATTCAGCAAGCGTCGATCACTATAAATGAGAGTAATTTTCTTTTCCATATGGAAGATTCCAATGACACAATTCTGCTTCGTATGCACTTTCATGTCAGACGCCATTTTGCCACTCAACTACTAACAAGGTAAAAAAAATTACGTGTTATTGATGAGAAGGTTCAAACTCTGCTGCCGCAACGGCTCACGGCCATATCACGTTGAAACACCGGTTCTCGTACAATCACCAAAGTTAAGCAACGTCAAGCCTGTTCAGTACATTGATGGGTGTCTGCTTGGGAATACCAGATGCTGTAAGCTTCGATATGTGGGTATTAATATTGGCTCACAATTCGATATCAGAGAACTGAGTTCCAATTCCAGTAAGGTTTGTTATTTACGCGCAAATAACTTTGGTAAAGATATGAATCCACCTCTACTCCCCCAGCTATGGGTTAATTAGTAGGAGGTGTATCAGTAGAATCATTACTATCATCAAAAAAGTTTTATAGCCTAAAATAATTTATGACATTGAATAACCTGGAAAAAGTTGATAAGCCATAAAAAATATCAAGAATAAATTTTATTCTCTTAAAATCATTCTGAAGTGGTTTTATACAAACAAATGAAATGGCTAGATGTAACCGTAAGTTCTATGCTAACAGTTTCATCGCTCGCACTTCTTGGCTGTGGGTTTCAATTCAGGCTTCTTGCTTCCCAGTCAAATTTGATCTTCAACAATTTAAATGCAGTGGCAATCGTTACCTTCTGTCTTCTTAATTCATATTCTTTTATTGTTCACTTTAATAGTAGTTTTTTCTCATATTCTCTAACACTCAGTAACCCCTTGCGTCCTAGTGGCTTTATTGCCTTTGTTCTTCAAAAATTTAAATGCATTGTCAATTGTTATCTTCTGTCTTCTTAATTCTTGTTCTTGTAAAGATATGAATCCACCTCTACTCCCTCAGCTATGGGTTAATTAGTAAGAGGTGTATCAGTAGAATCATTATTATCATCAAAAAAGTTTTATAGCCTAAAATAATTTATGACATTAAATAACCTGGAAAAGGTTGATAAGCCATAAAAAATATCAAGAATAAATTTTATTCTTTTAAAATCATTCTGAAGTGGTTTTATATTTTTCAGCTCGTTACCATTTTGGAAGAGTTTTATGCAGAATCGTCTCACAGGGTTTTATTTCCATGGTTTCCATCTATGAAAAGCAGTTTTCAATTGATTCCACACATATTCCATTGGATTAAGGCCAGTCTATTGAGAAAGTCTTTACACTAAATTTTAGTCATCTTAAATCATTCTGAAGTGGGTTTTCGAAACGTGTGTCGGCCTGTTCTCTTGTTAGAAGATGAATCACCTCCCAACCACCACACCCAAGTCAAAACTTTTCTTAATCAATTCACCCCATACAAAGCAATAAGGTCACTAAGACGCAAGAGAAGCAAGCGTTAGAGAATATGAGAAAAACTACTATTAAGGAAAGAAGACAATAAAAGAACAAGAATTAAGAAGACAGAAGATAACGATTGACAATGCATTTAAATTTTTGAAGATCAAAGGTAATAAAGCCACTAGGACGCAAGGGGTTACTGAGTGTTAGAGAATATGAGAAAAACTACTATTAAAGTGAACAATAAAAGAATATGAATGAAGAAGACAGAAGGTAAAGATTACCACTGCATTTAAATTGTTGAAGATCAAATTTGACTGGGAAGCAAGAAGCCTGAATTGAAACCCACAGCCAAGAAGTGCGAGCGATGAAACTGTTGGCATAGAACTTACGGTTACATCTAGCCATTTCATTTGTTTGTTTTTTGTAGATTAGCAGGCATTAAACTACCTATTACTCACAACATTTATCAAAATTGAATAATATTGATATTTTTATCATTATAGAAGTGAGGGACCTGTTCCTAACACAAATATAGTATTAAATTGATCCCTGACTTCTTAAAGAAGAAGCTGTACTTCATTTTTATTTACAAATGCAAAATTTGAAACTGTGCTTACATCAGTGACTAGCAGTAGAGCCCGGCGTTTCCCGGGGATGTAACAGTAAGAGATAGATCAAGTATCGACCATCATAAAGACTGAAAAATAAAATTGACAAAGATTATTGTTTAAGCTTGACGGACACGCATGTCTTAATTAGTTTTTTTTTTGTTTTTTTTACGAATTGGTCAAACCCAAACTCAATCAAAAACATTGTTTTCAATCGTTATGAGTCTACCGATTGAATAGAATTTTTTTATAAACAATTGTCTTGTAAATGGAATTTTTAAAGCATTCTGAATGTAAAAATAAAGAACAAAGTGTGCAAGACAATAAGAAACACTACCTGCCAAAAAAAAGTGAAGTTTTGTTGAAATCGGTTGAAAAATGTAGGAAATCCGATCCCATATATAAACGAACACACACACAAACAACCAACTTGGGTTTTATAATAAGTATAACTCAATAACTCTATATTAATAAGTATAACTCGATATGAGTTGTCCCCCTTTTATTAATGCCTCTTAATCGTGTTTTCAAATTAATTTCGTGCAAAAACAATTGTGTTTTTCCAATTTTTGGCGCTGTTAGAACCACCACAAGGTAATTTTACGTAGTCCTGTGAAGTTTTGTTGAAATCGGTTGAAAAATGTAGGAAATCCGATCCAATATATAAACGTACACACACACATACACACACACACACAACCTGGGTTTTATAATAAGTAAGATAACTGCGTATTACTATGAATTGAGAAAAGAGTCAGCATCAGTTATATGCAGTTTTCAATGCCTTTCAAGCAGTCGTTCTTAACTGGTGGAGGAGGGGGGGGCTCGCACCCAATAGGATTAATTTATTTTGTTTACGGCACATTGTTTTTTAAGGACAGGTTCGTATGTAGATAATATGTCTTCAATGTAAGAAATCAGTTTGTAGATCAGGTTTCATTGGCGTATTTTCGTAAAGTAGTTTTTCTCTTGTCGAGAGTCAAATGTATTGCTGGTAAATTTTTTTTCTAAATATGTATTGCTGGTATTTTTACTATAAAAATGTATCTTCATAATTTTATGGTGTTTTGGCGCCAGTTTAGGGGTTCACTATTCACTATATAGCTGAGAACCCCCCCCCCTAACAGGTGCTCCCACCCTGGGTCAGGGTGCACTTGAGAACACCAGCAATTAAGAGGTGGTTTCATGCTCCTCAAAACCTCCTGATCAGAGGCCTTGCTGCCGGATGTAGTTTATCGTCATACCCAGGGCATCATTACATTTCGAAAATGAATATAGAATATGGAAAGCACTATCAGCAATAATAAAATGAAAATAAATTATTTACACCAGTTCAAATAGTGTTCGTTAAGGTCAAATCAACAGCCGATCTAAAAATGACCTACAAGTTGTTGTTAACCTAGGCAAGGAATGGCTTGTTCATTTTAACGCCTCCAAAGCAAATAAATTTTTATCCACTTAGACGTGACTGGTCCTTTTGCTAATATAAATACAGCGTCAAATTGATCCCTGACTTGTTAAAGAGTTATCTGTACTTTGTTTTTATTTACAAATGTCAAGTTTGGAATGGTGTTTACAGCTGATTTTCTAGGATGAGTTATCGTTATTTACGTACGAAAACCGAAGTTAAGAAACACCGAGCCTGGTCAGAACCTAAATGGGTGACCGCTTGGGAATACCAGGTGCTGGACGTAATGTAATGGATAATGGTTTGGAAATGTTAGTCAGTGTGCCAAGTTATAATTCCCGTTAGGTTTCTTATATTCACTTATGTGCAAATAGGCTTGGGAAAGATATGAATCCACCTCTTCTCCCCCTAGCTATGGGTTAATTAGTAAGAATAGTATCACTAAATCATTACTAATTCTTGCAATCTAAAAAATACTTACTGGCTTTAAATAAACAGCAAAGGGTTGATAAACCCTAGAAAACTAATCAATCAATGAAATACTGATTTATTTATACTTTCTGGAATACAAATATATAAAAACTAATGTGGTCATAAAGTGAGGGATCAGTTTATATATTGATTGTAATGTAGAATTCGTCCCCGACTTTATATCCATATTATAATTTTTGGCTTTAAAAGGGTTGATAAGCCGTAGAAAATTGACCAGTCAATCAATAAAAAATAATTTGGTTAATTTAAATTGATTTAAATTAAAATTACACGGAAACCTGGTTGGAATTATTTTTCAAGCATTTTTACGGTATTTCGTTAATAAAAATTGTGTTATGGCGTGCCATTTACACTGTTTTGCCAAACTTAGACATGGCGCACAAACTTAGATTTATTTGTTAAATTCTGTCAGCAACATTTGCATTAATTGACCCACAAAAATCACTTTCTTATTGATTTACAGCGCAATGTCAACACTACGAGGCTTAAAGATGCAATATTCTATAGATAGATAAAAAGATAAATATGAACAGACTGATATAGATAGATAGATAGATAGATAGATAGATAGATAGATAGATAGATAGACAGGCAGGAAGAGAGATGAACACAGATAGATAGATAGATAGATAGATAGATAGATAGATAGATAGATAGATAGATGTGCACAGCCTAAGATAGATAGAGAGATGTGAACCGACTGAGATAGATAGATAGATAGATAGATAGATAGATAGATAGATAGATAGATAGATATGAACAAACTGAGATAGATATGAACAAACTGAGATAGATAGATAGATAGATAGATAGATAGATAGATAGATAGATAGATAGATAGATATGAACAAACTGAGATAGATAGATAGATAGATAGATAGATAGATAGATAGATAGATAGATAGATAGATATGAACAAATTGAGATAGATAGATAGATAGATAGATAGATAGATAGATAGATAGATAGATAGATAGATGTGAACAGCCTAAGATAGATAGAGAGATGTGAACCGACTGAGATAGATAGATAGATAGATAGATAGATAGATATGAACAAACTGAGATAGATAGATAGATAGATAGATAGATAGATAGATAGATATGAACAAACTGAGATATGAACAAACTGAGATAGATAGATAGATAGATAGATAGATAGATAGATAGATAGATATGAACAAACTGAGATAGATAGATAGATAGATAGATAGATAGATAGATAGATAGATATGAACAAACTGAGATAGATAGATAGATAGATAGATAGATAGATAGATAGATATGAACAAACTGAGATAGATAGATAGATAGATAGATAGATAGATAGATAGATAGATAGATAGATAGATAAACAAACAGACTTAGATAGATTCGATCATGCCGTAATTGATAGATAAATTG